CGATTATATTTATCTTTAAAATGTATTTTTAAATAAATCTGAGATTTTAACCATTATAAGTAAAAAAATAAAGAAATTAATTATAGATGTAAACGCAAAGTGCAACCAATGAAGATTATACTGTATGTTTGTTTTTGGCTTCTTGCGTTTGCATTTTGCACTAATAATGAAATATGGACTTCGAAAAAAAAAATCATAAGAACAAATACAAAAATTGGGGTTGCTAGAATCCAAACCTAAACTAAAAATTGCGTTTGATACAATCCAAACCTAAATAATAAAATATTTGTGAAAAAATATACTTATATGTAAGACATCGTGAACGTAGAACGGTAGAAGTAGGTGAGTATCTTTTTTCAACCCACCGTGAACGTAATTTATTAGCAGGTAAGGTAATTAGCTTTGTGACTTTAGTGTGGCGTATAATACAATCAAATGAAGATTCAGTTTTTTTCTATAAATGATTTCACTTACAAACGTATAAAAGACACTTTAGTGGGAAAATAGTTTGCAAAAATTAATTCGCCCATTTCTGTTGTATTTGCTTGATGGCCTATACGCAATAACAACTTCAATAGTTGAAAATTTTCTAAACTTTTTCTGAATTACTTTTTTGTTTTTTTTTTGAAATTTTTCTTTCATTGTCGAAGTCTCAACTCATTTTGAAAGATCTGAATTTGGCCAAGAAAAACTGAAGATGACTTGGATATTTAGACTGATTGAGTGAATTTGCATGAATGATATGTAATATTGCCTTATAAGTACGTGACTACTGCTTCTTCTTTCTTTTTTTTGTGACTTGCTTTTGCTTACTAATTCCAAACTACTTACGTCTACTTGGTTTAGATAGTGATTGGGAAAAAGGCGGTTTAGTGCGTGAGATCTAAAGTCCTAGTATAGATGGACTGTGATCAGTTCTAGTATCAACTCTAACTTTGAAACGATTCAAAGCATGAAATCAATGAATATTGTGAACGAATGATTACACTTTTCTGCGAGTTCTCCTCCTAAAATTCACCCCTTCTTACTTAGCCCTTACCGTAATCATCTTCTAAAGAGCTACATAAATTTCAATCTCTTTCTCACTTAAACGATTTTGTACACACTTTGGAAGCAACTAAGCTCTAGCGTTCATAATTCACCTCCATGTTTCCTTCAACTCTTTATCATGAAGTCAAGATACTACTACTCAACGACCACAAATCTTTCAACTGTACAAAAATCTTAATACGTAACTCTTTTCTTGTTATACTCTTTTTTTTTTTAACGCCCATAACTCTTTTCAGTATAATTAATTAACACTAAAACAAAACAAGGAAAATATCATCATGAACTACTTCCATCTATGGTAATTGCTGCGACTGGATGGACATACAATCGTCATATGCATATATTATCACATTTAAAAAGATATTAGTGGCTAATTACATTCAGCTATCAATTTTGAATATTTTACATTATTCCACTTACATAAAAATAATGGAATAGCACATTATAAAAAGCGGAAATACATCTATAAATTCTTGTTCCTAGTGTAAAAGTTAAAAATACTTTTACTGTTCCTTCTACCTTAATTACTAAACCCTCTTTTCCCCTAAACTCATATTTGCCCTTAATGCCGCCTCGCCCTTCTCCAGCAATTCATCGGCCGTCGAAACCCTGATTTCCGGCCATCGGCTTTCCCCGAAGCCGCCGCAGACATATAATTTCTCCAATCCTCAAGAACTTGTCTCAAATCCTTAACCTTATTCCTCTTCCCACCGCAGCAATTACCATGCATTAGGCAGACTTTACTAATATCCCATTTTGGTTGGCAGAAATTTCCAAAGTATACCGGATCAAGAAACATCATCTTGAGACCAATTTCTTTAACGTAATGATCATGTTTGATTTGTTCGAGCACGATTTGCTCATTTTTTCCGGGGAATCTCAGCCTTACCAATAATACGTAATGACGCGTACCAATAATCGTAAAATTTGATTGTTCTGTGGTTTGCCACGACGAAATTGAAGCCTCCATGTACTACATTGCGGAGATCGCTGGAATTTCCATTGAAATGGTGGTACTCACCAGCAACTTGGAAATCTACTTCCGAAAATAGTCGAGGAAATGGATCTCGCAGCCACATTGTATCCATGTCCTATTTATCAAATTTTCAAACATGTGACAAACAAAAAGTTTAATTACGATATATACAACTTTAATTTCTAGAAATAATTTTCTCATATTTTGTTTACCTTGTACAAAAACCTGAATTCATAGCTAGATCAATTTTTTTTTGCATTTTCTTGGGTTTTTACTTTTACATGTTTTTTTTAGCATGATCAACAATGGGTGTTAGTAAGTTTTTTAATGAGTTGCTAATAGATTAAAAATAATTATATAACCTTAGCATCCCAATTTAGAGTTGCTAATTTTAACATTTTTAGAACCTCAAAAATGGGTTGCTAATGGATGCTAACATTATTTAATTGTTTTTAATCCATTAGCAACCCATTAAAAAACTTACTAACACCTATTGTTGACTTGTATTGTTTGTTTTATGGACAAATACAATATCATCTTGACGTAAAATTTATGCAATAATTTTACCGTGAAGAGGAAGTTATATCCGAGCTTAAGGAAAGAACCTAGCAACTCTGTTCGAAGCCACATCATCTTGAGATAATCCGGCACCATGAACATTTTCTCGCCGGAGAAATCAACTCCGGCAGTTCTTAGCCAAAGGCAACGGCAAGGATGGACCTCATTGCACCGTGAGTAAGCCTTCTCGTCCAAACACACGACCACGACGTGACGGAGAAGCTTCACCGTCCCTTCACCGGCGTGGAAACTTTCAAGAAATACGTCAAACGTAGAATTTGGCTCTGCCCATGCCTGATTCATCATTGTTACTATTACCGTCTTCTTCTCCTTCATCGATGCTTCCCTCAACACTCTCATCAAATTTCTCCTATCTTCTGCCTCAAACTATCAATTCACCAAACAAAACTATTCAATGTAGTCCCGTCCCAAGCGTCACTCGATTAGTTTTGCAGAGTGCAAGGCAAAAGGAAGAAATCAATTGGCAAACACAAACAAACAATTAACAATCAATGGCTAAGTCATCTACAGAAGATTATATTTAATAATCTACTGAAAGTTTTATATTTTGTAACTAAAAATTTAGTACCAATAATTTAAGTTAAGATATTGTAGGTAAATATAATTATAATTAACTCATCATCTACATAGTTCGTATAATATAATAGAAATTACTAACCGTATCGGTGTGGACAAATTCTTGTTCGGCAGCGATCAGAGGCGACTCAACCGCGGAAACGTTTCGAAATTGCGGCAGCGATATCTTTGTGACATGAAAAGCCTTATGGTAGAGAAGTGAACATAGAAAGAGTGTAAAAGTAAGGAAGAAAACTATATTTTTCCGCGGTTTCTGCGGCCGCGGCTCTGGATCGCCAACGCTAACGTGACCTGTCCCGGCCACCATTTTCTTACTTAGGATCATATTTAATCTTAAGTTCATTCTCTTTCTAGTAGCTTGTTTATAAGTATTTTCAGATTCATATCTATATTAATTGAGATTACGATTGTTAAGAGTTGGATGCGTACACATAGACTACCAGCTTAATTATGATCTTTAATTTCACGGCAACGTGCACGTACGTAATTTATATCAGCATATCAAATGATCGGTTAGCTTATTTGTGATTTTATAACTAGATATAATTGTACATCTTTATATGCGACAAAATTATCTTAGTAAAAATATATCTCCAATTTTTATTTCGTTAGGAAATAAAGAAAGAAATTGATAGATTCAAATGAATAAACTCGGAAGAAAATATTAAGAACTGGCAAAATCTACATACGTATTTTTTTGCACATTGTTAGGAAATATACGGGTTATATATCAACAACAAAAATTTGATTTGTCTTTATAATTCGTTGTACATGATTTTGCAGATGTAGTTTTATATAGTGAAAATTACAAGAAATACCATTTTTTCCAAAATTACTTTCCAAAATTGATATTTTTCTAATTGTTTTTCACCAATTGCCACATTTTGTTTTCTAATGTATGCAAAAAGACTTATTTACCCTATCAATTTTCTACCACACATTTTATATCTCTCTCTTTCTTTCTTGGGAAACCAACATTCTTCTTCTCTCTCTCAAGCTAATCTCTCTCGTGTTGAAGATGGTGGTTTTCTTTAAAAATGGTGGATAGTAGTGGTTGTGGATGGAAACAAGACGGTGATGAAGAAGGTGTTGCAACGGAGGACATAAACAGAGACACAGAGGACGTAAACAGAGACACGAAAGACGTAAACAGAGACACGGAGGACGTAAACGGAGACACGGAGGACATAAACGGAGATAGTGACGGAGAACTCGGTGGTTACGACGGAGGACGAAAACGGAGACAGTGATAGTGGACAAATT